AGAAATCTAAAAGGTAGTAATCATATTTTTAAATCAACATACCTACAGTCATTATATTTTATTTGAAAAAATGACCCAATAGCACTCATCGTAATACAAATAAACGGGAACTAAGGTGGCTGTAATGTGATAACTGTGACATAATTATAGAATGCTGTGCCAACGGTAGGCACCCTACTCCACTGCTTATTCCGCCATTTCACATTTGCTATAGCGATATCGCGATAGAGCTATATAGGAAGCTATAAGGATATAAAAAGTAAAAAATCTCTTATATTGTACTGTTGTATTTTCTATTGTATACTTGAGGTATTATAAAAATATATACCGCGTATTTAGATTATGTATCATATAAAACTATGATAAAATGAATATTAAGTACATTTCGTACATTTTTACCATGTGAAACTCTCACGTTCAGACCCTTTAAAATTATACAAGAAAAACAATTTATAAAAACAATAAAGAATATAAATAATTTTAAAATAGGTCAGCGATGATGTTTCTACTATTGTTAATTTAAAATGAAAACATATGCACAGTTGACATAAATTTGAAAGGGTGACCCCACGATCGCGTGAGCTTGAAGAGCAAACACTTCGGATAATGTGCGCGTGTCCGTCCCATTGTTGGTTGAAGTCCTTCATAAGCTCCATTTGCACGGACAATAAAACAATTCTTGATGTGTTTTTAATACTACCATGGATGCTTATTTTTTATTCCAGTACTTTTATAATAATCTGTTAGAGTTATAACCTTTTGCTTAATTTTTAGTAACTCCTTGTTTTTGTTAATTGTAATTTTTAGTAAGTCCTTGAGTTTATTTCTTTGTTCTAAACTAATCGTGTCCGATTAAAATATCTCATAAAAATTTCGTGAACTTTTAAATAAGGATTAACAAATAAATATATTAACTATTATTGTACAAATGGTTGTATCAGTTCATGGGCTTATAGAAAAAATAAGTACAAACGATTGTCCGTCCAAATTAGGTCTAGATAATTAAAAATTAAAAATTTTGTACAGCCGACTTCAATATAAGTTATTAAGAATAACTCTAATAACTCAAAAACTATTGGTCTGACCTTGATCAAATTCATATGGAACCACACGAGAAGTATCAGCTTTCATATAAAAATCATCGAAATCGGTCCACCCAGTAAAAAGTTATGAGGTAACACATAAAAAAAAAAAACATTCGCGTCGAATTGAGTATACCGTCTCCTTTTTGGAAGTCGGCAGAAAAGCCTTACAATACGCATTCAAAATAGGAAAATATTTCTAACTTTGAATATCGAAATCCAACGTTGACTTAGGCATTTCTTAGGTATTCTTTTTCAGTTGGCTAGGACAACAGCCGAAATATTGATATTATTTTTTTGAATTTTATTCGCTTTTATAATGTCGACTGTATAATGTCAACACCACTCTTGATTTATTAGTTATTGTCGGGTAACTTCTTTTACTCTCAGGAAAAAAGGAACACATTTTGGAGACAGTAAGAAAATATGTACCATAAATTTTAGTTACACGTTTATTAGAATCTATGACGATAAATGATGATGTCATCAAAGAGTATATAACTAGATGTAACCAAATGTAACACAAGCTTGATGTTGCGAGGTGTACAACAACGCCTAAATATGCAACGCGTTATCGCTGTCGCGGTGTGGTACCTAAATGCATAATCTCTAGTATATATTAGTTATCTATGATGCAAAGATAAATAACAAGTACTGGAAAGTACAAGTTGGTAGTTTCGCCCGGACTAACCCCGGATGCAAACGTCAGGTTTACTTATTAGGTTTCCGATTATATGTTATGGTTCAGGCACCCGGAATACACGCTAATATTACACGATAATATTTTTGAATGGAAACTATTTCTGACTTTCGTTTCGAAAAACAAACTCAATTACGTCATCCCAAACCAATCCGAAAGCAGGTCTCACGAACATTTTGAGTGCCTGAAAGTACTGAAACTGTACAAATCTTTAGAAATTCGTAACCCGAAAATATTAACTTTATCATAAAAAGTTATATGAACGGTTTTATTCGTATTTTATCTAACAATATTAAACGAAATTGTCCCGTTTGAAAATAACCATTCTCTGCAATTGAAAAAAATATCGGTTTAAACAATATGGCACCGAGTTGCTCAATGGAAACAACATGCATTTATATCATCAGTAGAACAATTTGATGAGAATCGCATAAAAAATATGCGCTCGATATTAGTTCAGCTCGGTATGCCGAAAGTTTGTTAAAGCTGTCTTACAGATTAGTGAAAATGGGCCTTAACTATAAATGTGTATTTTAATATATTTTTATAGAATAAGGGTGACAAATGTTGTCATAGGTGCTATTGTTATATTATAGATACTATTTACTTTATATTACGTTATAAGTCCTATATAATTTATATTGTTTATTTACTTAAAAGCTAAATTATATTGTTTACTTGCTTAGAAGCCAAACTAATTAGATTGTAATATTTAAATGCTAATGTTTATTGTTTCAAAGTTTACCATTCCTAATCGTATCTTAGAATGAGTTAACGATGACACAAACAATTATGTTGTTCCCTTATCTTTACCCCCACCTTCCTAGCTTCCTACACTATTTAAACCAAATCCTTGGACCCCTTAACACAATTCCATTTCCAAGTTTTCTTTATCAACTTCTATATTTTAAGTTATAGGGAATGAGGTGATCGCTTCCAAGCAGTTTCTAAAATAAATTTTGTAAATAGTTCGTAATCATTTATATTGTAAAATTTATTTTAAAAAAAAGTCCCACTGGGTTTCTTGCTGGTTCTTCCCAGGACAGAGGGTTTTTTCGAACCAGTGGTAAAGTAAAAAATGACTTTCAATAAGAATTACACATGTAATGTATATTGAATAAAAAATATTCTATTCTATTCTAGTTTAAAAGTATTGAATAAATTTATTTTTAAAATGTTTTTGTCTCATAACAAATTTGGCGCAGTCGGTAGGATCTCGCGTGATTCATTCGCTTAAATAGCGTAAAGGCGAAGTAAACGTACCAAATTCGACGGAACAGCATCGCCCAACAAGAAGACAGCGTACGGTAGCTGAAGGGTTTTGAAGAACTTCGCCGAATCATGCAGCTCCACATTTTATTATTACTGTGGTAAGTGGCTAAACTTGTTTGTTCAAGTTCCTATTTTCCCATTTTTACCAATATATTTTTCCTAAATCTACCACCTCATTCACATTATTTTTTAAAAATATATAATACTATTCTATTATGTCAATTATTCATTGTCTGTGTAAAACAATTTCAAAAGCACCCTAAGATGACTACATTACTTAAATTAATTCCCTCATTTGACACAGATAGTAACGACCAAGTGTACAGATTCGTAAGGTCGTGCAATTCGGCTTTTGACTTAAGTTCAGCGGACCAGAAGTCAGTACTTTTAGTATATGCGTTAAATAATATCACTGGCTCGGGTGCGTTAGACGTTCACAGTAAAGAACAAGCCTCATGGACTGATTTAAGAACATTCCTTATCGAAAATTTCTCCAACGTTAAAACCATAGCACACCTTAACCTTGAACTGCAA